TGAATGAAACTAAAGAGCACAGTAACTTTTGGGAGCATGGAAATCTTGTGTCTATCACAGTAGATTATTTCAGATATGTGTATAACATGTAAACTATGGAACAACATCAGTCTACTTTAATGAAATAGAATCACACATATGGGAATGGAACAATACCATATTAAAATGTAAAGAACCACGTTCTAAATCTGTGAGTATTCTTTTACCTATTTTTGAAAATGTGTGAAGAAAAATCTTTTCTTTCACTACTTCTTTGCCTTTAAGAATATTTGGCTGTGTACAATAAAAGAACTTCTGGAGGCATCACAATCCCTGACTTCAAACTCTACTACAGAGCTACAGTACTGAAAACAGCCAGGCATACAGGTATTGGCATAAGAACAGACAGGAGGACCAATGGAACTGAATAGAAGACCTGGATATCAATCCACACATCTTCGAACACCTGATCTTTGACAAGGAAGCAAAAAATATCAAATGGAAAAAAGAAAGCATATTTCACAAGTGGTGCTGGCATAACTGGATATCAACATGTAGAAGAATGAAAATAGATCCATGTCAATTGCCATGCACAAAACTCAAGTCCAAATGGATCAAAGACCTCAACATAAACCGAACTACATTGAACCACACAGAAGAGAAAGTGGGACGTACACTTGAACACATTGGCACAGGGAACTACTTCCTAAATATAACTTCAGCAGCACAGACACTGAGAGAAACAATTAATAAATGGGACCTCCTGAAACTGAGAAGCTTCTGTAAAGCAAAGGACACGGTCAACAAGATGAAATGACAGCCTACAGAATGGGAAAAAATCTTCACTAACCTCACATCAGACAGAGGTCTGATCTCCAAAATATACAAAGAACTCAAGAAATTGGACACCAAAAGATCACATCATCCAATAAAAAAATGGAGTACAGACCTAAACAAAGAACTCTCAACAGAGGAAACTAAAATGGCTGAAAGACACTTAAGGAAATGCTCAACATCCTTAGTCATCAGAGAAATGCAAATCAAAACAACTCTGAGATTACATCTTACACCTGAAAGAATGACCAAGATCAAAAACACTGATGACAGCTTATGCTGGAGAGGTTGTGGGGTAAAGGGAACACTCCTGCATTGCTGGTGAGAATGCAAGCTGGTACAGCCCCTTCGGATGTCAGTGTGGCGATTTCTCAGAAAATTAGGAAACAACCTTCCTCAAGACCCAGTAATACCACTTTTGGGATATATTCAAAGGATGCTCAATCATGCCACAAGGACATGTGCTCAACTATGTTCATAATAGCTTTGTTTGTCATAGCCAGAACCTGAAAACAACCTAAATGCCCCTCGACCAAAGAATGGATAAGGAAAATGTGGTACATTTACACAATAAAGTACTACACAGCAGAAAAAAAATGACATCTTAAATTTTGCGAGAAAATTGATGGTGCTAGAAAACATCATTTTGAGTGAGGTAACCTAGACACAGAAAGACGATTATCACATGTACTCACTCATAGGTGGTTTTTAAACATAAAGCAAAGAAAGCCATCCTACAAACGACAATCCCAGAGAACTTAGACAATAATGAGGACACTAAGAAAGATTTATATAGATCTAATCTACATGGAAAGTAGAAAGCAGAAAAAGACAAGATCTCCTGAGTAAATTGGGAGCATGGGAACCTTGGGGGAGGGTTGAAGAGGAGAGGGGAGAGGCAGGGAGGGGAGTAGTGAAAATGTAGAGCTCAATAAATATCAATTAAAAAATGAAAAAAAATTCGGCTGTCCTTGAACACATTGGCACAGGAGACAACTTCCTGAATAAAACCCCAGTAGCACAGACACTGAGATAGACAATTAATAATGGGGACCTCTTGAAATTGAGAAGCTGCTGTAAGGCAAAGGACACGGTCAACAAGACAAAATAGCAGCCTACAGAATAAGAAAAGATCTTCACCAATCCCACATCTGACAGAGGTCTGATCTCCAAAATATATAAAGAACTCAAGAAACTAGACATTGGGGGATGGAGACATGGCTTAGAGGTTAAGAGCATTGGCTGCTTCTCCAGAGGTCTTGAGTTCAATTTCCAGCAACCACATGGTAGCTCAGAACCATCTATAATGGGATCTGATGCCCTCTTTGGGCATGCAGGTGTATATACAGATAGAGCACTCATCTATATAAAATACATAAATAAGTCTAAGAAACTAATCAAAAAACTAAATAATTGAATTAAAAAATGGGGTACAGATCTAAACAGAGAATTCTCAACAGAAGAATCTCAAGTGACTGAAGTAAACTTAAGGAATCCTTAGCAGGGAAATGCAAATCAAAACGATTCTGATATATCATCTTATACATTTCAGAATGGCCAAGATCAAAAACACTAATGACAGCCTATGCTGGAGAGGATGTGGAGCAGGAGGAACACTTCTCCACTGCTGGCAAACTTGTACAGTCAATTTAGAAATCAATATGACTGTTCCTGAGAAAACTGGGAATCAATTTATCTCAAGAACCAGCTATACCACTCTTGGGCATATACCCAAGGATGCTCAATCCTACCAAAAGGAAACTTGCTCGACTATCTTTATAGCAGCATTATTCATAATAGCCAGAACCTGGAAACAACCTAGGTGCCACTAAACTGAAGAATGGACAAAGAGAATGCGGTATATTTACATAATGGAGTACTACTCAGCTGTTCAAAGCAATGATATCAGAAAATTTGCAGGCAAATGGATGGAACTAGATAAGATCATCCTGAGTGAAGTAACCAAGACCCAGAAAGACAAACACTACTCACTCATAAGTGGTTATTAGCTGTTAAAGTAAAGGATCACCATGCTACAAATCCACAGTCCCGGAGGCCAGGCAACAAGGAGGACACAAGGAGAAACATGGATCTTCCTAGGAAGGAGAAATAGAAGAGATCTCCTGGGTAGACTGGGGACACATGGGGATGGGAACATGGAGGATCGGGCTGAGGGGTGAATGGAGAGGGAGAGTCATTAAAGAAATGACTTGATGGGGGGCATTTTGGGGTCAGGTAGAAACCTGATGCAAGGGGAAATGCCCGTGAATCTACAAGGATGACCCCAGCTAAGACTCATAGCAATAGTGAAATAGTCTGAACTGGCCATCTCCTGTAATCAGATTGGTAACTACCCCAAATGTCATTGGAGAGCCTGTGTCCAGTAACTGAGGAAAACAGAGGCAGAGATTCATAGCAATGAACTCGGATAAGCCAGGGGAGTCCTGTTGAGGAGGAAGGAGGAAGAAGTTAGAAGCCAGAAGTCAGGGTCATCACAAGGGAAAACACAAGCAACTGGCCTGCTTATGGGAGCTCATGGTCTGTGGACTATGGTCCAAAGGCAAGAGAGCCTGCATGGGACCAGCCTAGGCCTCTATGTATGTCTGACTTGTAGAACTCTGGTAGTGGGACCAAGGCCTGTTCCTCTTTGGCTGGCTTTTGGGACCCTGTTTCTAATGTTAGATTGCCTTGTCCAGCCTTAATACAAGCAGAAGAACTTAGTCCTACCTCAACTCGATATGCCATGCTTTGTTGGCACCCATGGGAGGCCTGTTTCTTTCTGAACACAGATGGAGAAGGGGTGGATTGGGGAGAGGGGGCAGAGGGGAGATGGGGGACTGGAATGGGAGGAGAGGGAAGGGGAAGCTGCAGTCTGGATGTAAAATAAATGAAAAAATTTAATCTATAAAAATGTAAGTAATTAGTCCCCCCCCCCCCAATGGCTTAGTTCTTTTCACCCACGCGATTTCAGTGTGAGTACCTATTTATGGTCCTAGCATTCAAGACACTCGAGGTAAATGTGCTTGGAGACCTCCCTTCTTGCCAGGCTGTCTATAATTTCATGTTATACCTTCCTATATTTCCAAATTACTTTTTGCTTTCTTTTCTCATTTCTAAAATTCATGAAGGCAGGGACAATATATAGGTTAGTGTGTGTAGTGGCATTTCAATTGTATTTTAATAAAGAAAGACTGCCTGAAAAACTGACAGTCCCACTGGTCAGCCTTACAGACCAGGTTATGGTGGTAACACACACCTTTAATCCCAGTAACCACAATGCCACACTAGTTGCCATAGAAAGCTGATGGTGCACGCCTTTAACCCCAGCCCTAGAGAGGAATATAAAACGGGAGGAAACAGCTCTCAAAACACAATCTCATTCTGAGATTCCATGAGGCAGGAATGCCATTTCAGTCTGAGATCGAGGTAAGAGCTGGTGGCTGGCTGTTTTGCTTTTCAGATCTTCAGGATGAACCGCAATTTCTCTCTCTCGGTTTTTATTAATCATGCTTCAAGTGCTCACTTCCAAGTCCAGCGACACCTAGCCAATACCTCACATTCCCCCTCCCCCTACATTGCAAACACAAAAGTACTTGATATAAGTAAAGCTTGCTACATCCTTTGGTAGAATTATCATGATGTACACTTCGTAAGAGAAGGAAACAAAGAGGCCTGAAGCTTGACACAAATGCCATTGGTTGAGCGGAGCTCCTCAGGCCTAGCATTGGGTCACTAGACTCATTAGAAGGTGATCTTAGTAAACGTCGACTCTACAGGGAGGAAATACAACCTGCCAAGCCTGAGGACATGATGGCGGAAGATGGCCAGATTGAAACTCCTTTACAACCCAGGTAAAAGCCCCCGCCCGCAACGACATGCGCGGAAGTTCCGAAAGGGCGGGGCGATCTCGTGTGGTGGGCGGGACCACCGCTGATTGGCTAGATCCAGGCGGAAGTCGGGAGGTTCGAGGGTCCGAAGACGCCAGCTTGTGACGGGGTGGGGGAGGAGGAAGGCTTCCGTAAAAGGTGCCTTTCGGTCCCTTCGCTCCCGGGGACCCTCGGAAAACGCCCCACCATACCGACCCCGCGGCTAACCCCTCCCTCAGGCTCTCTCCGCTTGATTTCGCACCGTTATGTGGGAAGCGAATCCGGTGAGTAGCCGGCGGGACGGGGCGGGCCCAGTGGGCGGGGTTGCCTGAGAGGTGCGGGAGGCGTTCCCGGGAACTCGCCCCCGCGCCGCCTTGGGCTCGGGGTTTGCGTTCCGGGTCGCGGGCGTCCTGGGTCTCGGGCCTCCTGCCGGCCGCGGTACCGTGGCTTTGAACGGTGGGAACGTTCCATGGCCACTTCCACATTTTTGCTTTTCATTTTCCGATTGTTGGTTTTACTTCCGGGGGCTTCTCCGTCTTGGCTTTTTCTTTTATTATTATTATTATTTTTGTATTTTGATTGCTATTTGGAATTACTGGCTTTCGAACCTGCTAATTTGTTTCGGCCCCGCACCCTCATTGCTGCTTCTCCTTTTTTTTTTTTTTTTTTTTTTTTTTTTTTTGGAGCTACAGAGGTTTCAGATCCTCTTTATGAACGGAGTCTCAGGGGATGACGTTCTAGGATGTTTTCTTTCCGTGGTTAGAACAATGATCCGGAATCCTTTGTTTGCCTTCAGTAGTTCCTATGTCTGCAGGCATTTTTATTTTTGCTACTTTGCCTTCATTCATTCATTCAAACTCCAGCACCACGCATAAGGATATGTTAAGAATATTCAGCTCTTGTTATGGGAATATAGTAGTGAGAAAACTGTACACTGACGTCAGAACTTCACAGTTGACTGGCAGAATCGCATTTCAAGAAATCTGTGGACTTCCTATGTGAAACTACCCCAGAGGCTGGGCTAACCAACCATTAAGTTGACTTTTAATACCTCCCACTGTCTATACTTGAAGTAGCCCTCTTCCTGATTCTGGAATGTATCTCCAGTTATGTCTATCAGAAAATTCCCTGATGTTTTAAAGTTTGTACCCAGTAGTAATGAGCCCATTGGTCGGGATTCGTGTGCATATGTGATTCCATCCCATCATGGCAGCCATCAGATGTTTTTGATTTGTACATTAGAATACTGTCATCAGTTTGGGTCAGAGGAAGGTACTTGTTTGAATATGATTTTAGCCAAACCTTTAGCATTGGGATAAAACTAGCTTATAGATGTTCATATACTCTTTTACGGTTAACTATTAACGTTTCTTTATTTTTATATCTGTATCCATTTCTTTACGTGCATATATAGATAAGGACTCGGTTTTTATTAGTAGCCCCTTTCTGTTGATTTCCCACAAATACCCATCACCAGTATGGTTCAAGGTCACATGCTATAAACCCTCTGAATTATCTCTTTGTGAACGTGAAATGTATATTCAGCTAGAGGACAGATCCTGTTGCGTAACAAATACTTGTTGAGTTCTTGACAGTGACTGGCTCAGTAATGCCCTCTGAGGCCTCTGCCTACCCTGTTCATCTTTCCTTCTGGGTCACACTTAAGTTTCCACTATTGGGCCAGTTATACTTTGGGGAGAATTACAAAGGATCTAGTGAATGACTCCTGTATTTGGTTTGTTATGTCATTATTTCTTTGTAATAAAAAAAAAGGTCCAGTTTTCTGTGGAATCATATGTAAGTCTTAAGTTTTGCCCAGCAAGTTGACTTTTGTCAATCATAATGAACATACAGCCTTGGGTTCTTTTTTTGGCCCCTCTGCCACTTACATGGCTGAGTGCTGTTGTGTTTTATTACCTGCTGGTACTGTTTTTGTTTGTTTGTTTTTGTTTTTGTTTTTTCCTTTTATTGTGAACACCTGAATGTTGTTAACAGGCACAGTGTTTTATTATATGTATATGGGTGTTTTGACTTCATGTATGTTTGTGCAACACATTCATGTAATGCCCCTAGAATTATTGGATCCCCTGGAACATGGAGTGCCCTGTGGGTGCTGGGAAACAAACCCGGGTCCTCTGGAAGAGCATCCAGTGTCTTAACCATGGAGCCATCTTTCCAGCCCCCACCACTTAGCTTTTATTTTATTTCATTTTTATTTTAAGTAAATTTTGCATTTATGGGTTCCACTGATACTCATGAGTTTCTTGAGACAGAAGCAGTATCTGCATAGCTTGTCTAGCTTTGCCAGGGAATAAAATTATCACCCTAAGCCATGCACATCTGGGAAGATTTAAAATTCAAGTAGAAGAAGAAAACAAACCCCCAACCACAGTGTACTTAAATATCAGTGCGGATAGCATTCACATTCTTGACGAATTCTTTCTGTAATGAGGGAAGGTTTTGTTAAATGATGGTGAACTGGTTTTGTCTAGTTTCCCCTTGTTTTGATGGTCTCCATGGCCTTAAAGGTGCAGCCTGTGACCTGAAAATGATACTCCTCTTCCTCCTATGGGAAAATGGCTGCTTTGTGAAAACTGTTTCCCAAATGTTCTGAGGCATCATGGAATAGTACTGCAGATTTTGCAGTATTTCCTGGGCCCTGGGGGGACAACCGAGAATGAATACCTAAGGAGAGATAAACAAGTGTTACCCTCTTTTATTCGTCTACTTTGAATACAACATAATGTCTGCATTGCTTTGTTTTGCCCTTCTGCCCAGGCAGGTCATGTTGACAGGGACAGCAATTCTGTGAGCTCTTGGTATCATAGGAAGAAGAAGGAGTCACTTACAAAAATGGCAGCCTAAAGGAAAAGTTAGAGGGTTGCTGTCGCTGCTTTGACACTGAACCTTGACTCTGTCCTTCCTTTCTCAGCTGTTTATCTGCGTCTTCTCTCTTTGATGGGAATGGAATAAATATTTCCCTGGAATTGTTAGTCAAGAGCAGGGTTCTGTCACATAGATAATGAGAGTGAGAGTTCTGTTTCTGTAAAGAGACACCCTGACCACGGCAACTCTTGGGAAGGAAAGCATGTAATTGGGGCTGACTTTACAGAAGTTTAGCCCATCCAGTCCATTGCGGGAAGTGTGGAGGTGCACAGGCAGACATATTACTGCAGAAGGAGAGTTCTAAATCCGGATGAGCAGGCAGCAGGAAGAGAGACACTGGGTCTGTCTTGAACATCTGAAACCTCAGAGTTCACTCCCATGACACACTTCCTCTAGCAAGGCCACACCTACTCCAACAAAACCACCACCTAGTAGTGCTCCTCAGAATGAGTGTGTTTTCATTCAGATTACTGCAAGAGTACACTGTTTATTACACTGGCAATGTCTTTATAGAAGCTGTTAAATTCTTCCAAAAGTCATTTCTGTTTATTGATTCATGTTGTCAGAATAATCTGAGTTGGCTCAGGGAGAGCAAACGGTTTTCCCAGAATGACGCCACAGTTGTCTTCAGAGCTAAGCCCTCCTTCTGTTCCATCTTGATCCCAGGACAGTGCTGGCTTTCAGATGTCAGTCCCTACTTTGTCTGCAGAGCCTCCTTTTCTCTGTCACTTTTTATTCTCAACTGCTTCTCACTTCCTTGGAACTGTGATTTTTGTCTCTCTCCTGTTAGTCTGCTTGAGAGAATGACCACATACTTGTCATTCTTAGCCATAGTCCATTCCTGCAGTCTGGCTTCTGTCAACACTGCTCTCCAGGAAGTCTCCAAGAATCTCTGAATCACCACATACAGTGGTACCCTAGGTACCTTAGGTTGATTCAGCAACTTGGATGCCAATTACAGATTTCCCTTCAAACCTTCCTTTTCATTGTTCCCGGTAAGTGTATCCTTGCTGATTTTCTTTTATTTCCCCTTTTTATTTTCATTTCATTTATTTTTTATTTATTGTGTGAATGCATGCACACACATACCATGGTACAATAAAATATCAGAGGAGTCATTTCTCTCCCCTGACCATGTATGTGACTTCTGGGGATTGAACTCAGATTGTCAGGCGTGGTGGCCTTTACTGACAGAGCCATCCTGCCCTTTTCTGAGATTTGTTTTCAGTTATAGTTCTGGGCTAAGCTGCATGCCCTCCTGAAACATCCCATCTTTGATTTTTTTTCCTTTAGCACATCCTTTTTGGCAAGCTCTGAGGCTATTCTGTGAACATACCTGCTTAGGGTCATCTTTAGTCTTGACCCCCTCTCGCTGCTTGTCCCTTTGATGGTACTAAATCCTTGGTCACTGATTCATTTCACCCAGCAAGTCCTCAGGAAGTGTTTCCTACTTACTAAGCATGGTTCTGACACTTGAAGAGAGGAGTGCAAACATGAACTGAGTCAGAGCCTGTCTGCCTCATGAGGTCACTCACTGGATGCAGTGTGACTTGTAAGAAGGTGGGATCTGAGGGTGACTGGCATGCTGGGAAGACCTGTTGAAGTAACTGACATGAGAAGACCAAAGCAGACAAAGTGGCCCAAGCCCATGAAATGGAGCGTGGATGTCAGATACTGAGACATGGAGGAAGTACTTCCAAGACTAAAGATGGAGGGGTTGTCCCAGTCACCTTTCTACTGCTGTGAAGAGATACCATGAACAAGGCAACTCTACAAAAGAAAGCAGTCGTTTGGGGGCTTGCTTACAGTTTCAGAGGTTTAGTTCATTTTTATCATGGTCGGGAATTTGGTGGCATATAAGCAGGTGATGGAGCAGTAGCTCAGATTTTACATCCTGAAATGTAGGTGGGTGGAGAGAGACCTGGAACAGGCTTTAGAAACCTCAAAACCCATCCCCCCCCCACCCCAGTGACACAGTTCTCACAACTCCAACAAGGCCATACTTCCTAATCTTTCTTAACCTTTTCAAACTCCTTGCTGACTAAGCATTCAAGATAGCATGGTCTGTCACAGTCTTAACACTGTATCAAACCCTGTGATACTGATACTCATGTTTCTAGAACATTTTTTTTAGTGATCTGTCTCATGATCATGAATAGGAAAGTGGTGTGTCTGCCCTAGGATTTAGCCTGATGTAATCAATCACCAGGGGCCTTCCAAGTTAAAGTTGGGAACAAGAAAGCACCAAAGCACCATTGTAATGGTAAAAGTAAAATGCTGTGGATCCCCAAGTGGTTGCAGTGGGCAGCAGGCCATGAGACCATGCCGCAAGTCCCCGAAGTGGTGGCAGGCAGCAGGTCCCGAGACCAGCTAGTCCCAGGCAGGGATGGCTCAGTTCCCCGAGTGGCTGCAGCAGACCACAAGTCCCAGGCAGAGAGCCACATGGTGGGTGAGAGACCTCAATTGGACAGCCAGTCCCACGAGGAGAGATAGACAGATGGGCACGCCATGAGACCATGCCACAGGTCTCCTGGGCAGGAAACCACATGGTGGGCAAGAGAAATGAGACATGGATAGGCATGCCATGCAGAGTGAGGTTGGATATTTATTTAGTGGGTTATAGAGGAGAATGGGGAGAAGGGGGGAAAGGAGAGAGAGAGAGAGAGAGAGAGAGAGAGAGAGAGAGAGAGAGACAGAAGGG